GGTCAATGACCGTGTCACTTTCAGCTGTCAACCACTACAAGACTGATCGAATGTGACTGCATATAGGTGAGATTGCAGGTAGCTGATAGCTAGGAAACAGATGGCAATCAATCAAAACGCACAACCACGGGGAGGGGGGAGCTGCAGAGTAAGTGCACCTCAAAGAAATGAACTTAAGATCTGTGCCTTAGCAATATGATTCTCTTGAACTGACACTTCTCAATGCCCTCCATCTTTTCAATGCTCCCCTGAGTCTCAAGCTAGCTCAGAGAGGAAAGATTTGAAAGTCATCCCCTTTTCAGAGACATTCTGTGGCTAATTGACAGCTGTCAAAAACCCCTGAGAAGGTGGTTGAATGGGGATACATTGAGGAGGACAACCCATTTGATTCATCACATTCTGCCACCTCTAAGGGCTTTTAAAAAAAATTATTGAGGAAATTTGTGAAAAATTTTTGACACGAAATATATGCAGACTTCAAAGATAAGAAGTAAATAGGGGAGAAAGACATGCAGAAAATGCAGGTTGTAATACCAGAAAGTAAATGGAGGGAAAATATAATACACATTGTAGATAATTTTCTGCAATCTCATCTACCTGAGAATCAGTGCTTGTAGTAGGTGTTTGAGGGTGCCTTGGTTAATGAGCAAACAATTAAATTGTCACAGCTTCTTTTCAGCTGTCATGTTAACCAGCCCTATGTCTGCATCATACTTTAAACATATATGATAGTGGTAATTGGTTCCTTCTAACGGTTGTGTATAAGAATCAAAACAGCACACTGATTAGTGACTCAACATGGGTGGTTTTGTTTCTTACTTCCTCTTAAAAAGGTCCTCAATCATCTCTGTCATTAATTGAATGAATCACTATTGCACATTTCTAAAGCAGTTGCTTAAGTTGCACAAAATTCCTCTTTTCTTGCCAGACTTCTGAATTTGCACCAGTTTCCACTGTATTTATTCCATGTCTTTACATTTGTGCAAATATTTCCAGTAACTAAAAGCAACAATAACAAAAACCTACAGCAACTGCAGCAGCAACTGCTGTGAAAGGGAGCCATGAAAAGAGGGGAAGTGAATATCTCCCCTTTCTAGACTTACTGAAGAGTTGGGGGTAGAGTTTTTCCTCTACCTTACTATTATCCCCCCCCCCCCCCCCGCAATTCACTGGCAAGTGTGAATATATTTGCCTCTATGCAGTCTCACCTTGTCCACTTCCTTGTATGTCACCTATTGAATTCAATTCCTTTGACAGGTGAAACTTGCAAGGCTGTTTCCAAGGCATTAGACATAACAACTGTAAGTGCACATCTGAAAAAAAAAACAGTCCACAAACGTTTTTTTTAAAAATGTGAAGACCTTTGTGCAATTTTCTGGTACTGAAAATCATAATTTAAAAAGAATATGATCCTATTTGGATATTTCTGAGGCACTGGGGTCACAATCAGAAAAGAGGAGGGGATCGGATGAGGAAACAGGAAGGGTTCTACAGAGAAGGACACTGGGATACAAGCTAGAAGGACAAACAGCAATAAACACACTTGATTGTTGAGTGTAACATGAGTTATTCCATGAACAAGCCACACTGCATACCTATCTGGAAAGAGGCTTGATGTAATGTGTAAACTCAGCCACACCGTGCTGCAGTAACTTGAAAGAAGAAGCTTCTCTTCAAAGTATCACTTAAAAGAAAACAGAAAACCTATAATGATGTCTCGTTTAGAAAAATTCCCAGCTATCACTGGTCAAGATGACCAATGTCTGACATTCATTACTGCTTTGTTTATATTTATCACCCAACAGTAACAGCTCTCTGGGTGCTTTGCAACAGCTACCTTAATCAGTACTGGAAGAGATAGAAAAAGCAATACAGAAAAACTTAATGCAATAATTTCAGATTATAAATTGATCATTTGGTGAATGGAGCATTAACCTAATGCTCAGCCAGTGCAAGTTACAACACCTGACTCTGTCAAGCACTATTTTGGAATTCAAACAATTACATTGGTTTCAATTCTTAAAATGCACTTGCAAATTACAGTCTGCCTATGGGAAGCTTTGCCATGCAGTATTGTCCATGACTTATAACATAGTTCTCATTCTAAGGATGAGTCACAATTGAGCCTGGAGATAAAATGTTCTAAAATTAACTACATATGGAGCTAATCCAGAACTCCAGTGCATCCAAAGAATCTGAATACTCTACATATGCTGCTTAACAGAAGTATATCTAGTTTTAATTTCTTAAGTAAACAATGGAATCTCAGAAAGTTAACAAGGGGTCAAGAACCAGAGATGGAAAATCATCAGAACAGTTCTCTGATTTTATATTTCTCTTGCCATATGAAGGAAAGAAAAGAAGCAGAATCATTCTCTGGACTCTGTAGAGAGCAGCTCCATTTAACTCCACCTCTCCCTGAACCATTGTTCCCCAATCTGGTGCCTTCTAGTTGTTTTAGACTACAACTCCCAACATGTTCAGTCAGCAGAGATGATGAGATATGTAATCTAGAACATCTGGAAGATGCTATCTTGGTCTATACATTTAAGAACTATACATTTCAGAACTGTATACATTTCAGAACTTGTATCAGAATATGCTTCACACACACACACACACACACACACACACACACACACACACAGAAAGAGAGGGGGGGATTATTGATCTCTAAGCCACTCTGAGAGTCTTTTCCACTGAAGTGTGGGTAAAAATGCTTTAAATGCTTCTTATATTCCAACCTCTCTTAAAAGTTGTTAAGCAAGTTTTGGTACTAAGATAAACACACTGACACTCACACAGGGAAGTTAAGGACTATTCATTTGTTTCTCATATAGTCGCAATGTGCCTAAGAGCTGTGTACTGTATTCTCAATACAAACTGATGGAGCATACTAATAAGAAATTAGGGCAAAACCCAGTGCGGTACACACCAATTCTCACTTGGGCAATGGCTTCCTTCTCTCCCCTGCCCCCCCCCCCAAACTTGCTGCAGAAGCTCCCCAAACATCAGAAGTAGATTTTGAAGGCTATGAGGATGCAAGTGTCTTCAATTTGCTGATGAAAGTTGTTTTTCAGTGGTATGAGTTAACTGAATATCACTTTCTATCTTCAAGCAAATGATCATCACATCAATGTTTTATAAAGTGTACTAAGAGTATTTGGGTAAAATCTACAACATCTCAAATGCACCATCTTCATGCTCAAAGTTCATAATATGGCTGTTACAGACCTGAATTCATGTAGCACAGCATTTACTTCTACAAAGTTGAATCTTAGTACCTACAGCTGATCATACTAGAGGGTAAAAATCAATAAGCTGTACTGAATTTAGAGAGAAAAGGTTAAAAAACTAAATCAGAAATGTTGATATGTGGCATGAAGGGGAAATGAAAGCTTTGATGGCATTACTGACAATTATGAAGACAACAGTTGAGTATAACTGGCTGACAGGAATATGAAAATGTTGGTAAATATAACAGCAGATCTCAACAGCTCACACTGTGTGTGTATTTGATCAGAGTTGTCATATTTAAAACACCATCCTGCAACATGTTCCAAGGTTGACTAAAATAACATGACTTGAAAAGATTTTGTAGGCTATGGCTGCACTGCAAACAACAGTTAAGATGGCAGAGTTAATAAGGACGGGTTTCATCCAGCTTTCTGAAGGTGCAACATTCCTTCCTTGTTCCCTCTTCCCTCTGGCAGCCCCTCTCCATTCACCTGAAAATGCTCTACAGAAGGTCAAGCAACCCTGCTGAACAGGGTGAGTGTGGTACAGGAGAACAGTGGAAGGCAATCCCTGAAAAATCAGGCACAGACTTTTCCTGTGAGGAATTTTCCATCAATGGAAGGAGGATCCTAGTATCAAGTCAATGAATTTGGGGGAAAGTATTCATATTAATTAGTTTTAAATTGGTACTACTTTTTGAAAGACTGTATCCAGTATAGAGCAGCAACATTTCATTGTAGATTGTCCAAATAACTTTGACTATTGGAAATACATAAATTCATTGAAGACCATGCAGATCCTTATTTAGGCACAACATTGGAAGCAGCTCTTATTTATTTAGGGCAGAGATCTAGAATTTCCCTCAGCTCAGCCTCTGTCTCATGCCACTGCAAGATTTAAACATTTGCCAGCATGAAGGTTGCCATGGAGTGGCCAAAACATGACTCACCAATGTGGTCAACAGGCAACGTAATCTATAATATTTTCCAAACACTAGCAAGTCAACATTTGTACAGTCTAGCCATGACTCATTCTTCAACTGAATACTGGCAAATTACAATATAAATAAAAGGATCCAGTACGTTATGTAATTTCTAAATCCTCAAAATCTAGATATTCTTAGAAACATTTAACAAGGCAGCAAGAGATATTTGGAAAAGATAAAGACTGGAACTCAAAGAAAATTTAAAATTTAGAACTTGAGAAAGACCAATAGGCGTTTTGCTTTGAACAAGCCAACAAACTGAATTATAAACCACTTTTGAAATGCCTCTCCCCTTTTCAGAGATGTTTGCTTTGGGATCTCAGGAGCTGCTGTTGATACAAAGAATTCTAAAAACTCTTTGAGCTCATGAACATTTTGTATGGCTCTTTGAATCCTGGCGGCAAGACTAGCAGGCAAAGATACAGTTGCCTAGAAAAAAATGCTGGAGATGGGAAAAGAATAACAGAGTTGTGATGGGATCCAATTGCTCCTATGGTAAAGAAAGTGAACAGTCAAGTTTGGAAACCAGCAGAAATGTAAACATAAAACTTACCAAGTATATATGGTTGGGGCAATAGACATCCATTTAGAACAAATCGCAAAAAGTTTCAGACTAGTCTCTGCATATTAGTTTGAGGAAGAGTAAGTAAAACTAGAGATCAATGCCCTACTGAAGTTATTCTATCTAAACTGATAAACATTTACTAGAAACATAAGATGCTGATCTCATGTATTTCTACTTACACATATTTCAATGTTTATCAAGTAACACAGAGGTAGAACACACCAGAAGAACTTTCAATATAAGAACACTTTCAGAAATTCAGGAGAAGAAAAGGGCGGAGGACAGAAAAACAATTTCCCCCTTTATTATAATTTTGCATGTTTTGCCTGTATTTGAAATTTACTCATGTATAAATATTCATTATAAGCTTGATTTCATGTTTTGAAAAATACTGGAATAATAATATTCTATTATTTTTGATAGATTCTAATGGCAGGACATGTTGCAGCAATAAGATTACGGCAGTTTATAGATCCAGCACCAGAAATTCCTCCAGGGTAAAGTATCAAACAAACAAAACACCTCAAGAATTGGTTCAGACAGCAGAATAATTCCTGTTTGATAAAAGATTTTGTAAGAACATGGCAAACAGAACGTTCAGCCCAGACAGCATGACAAATTCTGAGTGTAGAGCTTCAAGTTACTGCCATTTCCATGCATCACATGTAGATCAAATTAGGATCAAACCCAATATTTCAGAACATCACTTTGTGAAGTTTGAAAACTGCAAATAGAAGGCCTTGTGATGAGAAGAATTTTCCAATAACCAAAAATAGACTTAAAAATGAATGTAAACACACTTAAACTTCATACTAAATACTGAATACTTGAAGCTATAAGAGACCTTGAGAAAACTATAGTGATCTTATACAGGTCTAAGGACTCCTAGCATTCTACAACATTGCAATGAATACAGTGGGTTGGATCCAGAATCTGCCTGCTGAGGACAGATGGCTCCTTCTGCCTGTTGAAGGCTTCTGATCCTGCAGAGGAAAGCTGTGGGTGGAGTACAGGGAAAGCAGTCCCCCATGCTATTCCCAAAACCAGGAGAGGAGAGCTGGGGAGGACCTGAGTAACAGTGAGAGGAGACAAACACGGCACTGAAAAGGGAAGAAAGATTGAACAAAAATGCCTCACCCCTGTATTTTTTCTGGCAAGACTCTGTTCAGGGAATACATATGCTGGCAGAAAAGAAAATGAAATGATGACTAATACAAAAGTGTATTTACTCAGATAAAATTGTATTTATATCCAAGTGAAGGTGAATATCATTTGGCTGCTTATACTATTCTTATTTGCACAGAGCCATGAATGTGCATGACTCTTTACATAGTGTAGTGTGCCAAGTTTTCCTTCCTTCACACATTCAAGGCAACAAACCATTTCTTTGCAAAAGTGCTTCATTAACAAAGAATACCCAACAAATGCACCCCCTCACAGAAATTATCTCTGTGCATGCACAGAGCAGTTTGTTGAACCCAATCTAAACAACTACTTCTGGAAACTCTCCTTCTGAGTAATTCTGGGCCTGATCCCTTCTGAAGGGCCTTTTGGCAGTGACCCTGCCTCTTTTTGATAAGCCTATCCTCTAGTTGGCATTCTCACCTTTCCTGACGCCACATCATGGGGTCAAAGAGTCATACCAGATCAGCCTGACAGCTCCTCTCCCATGTTCCCACCTGACACCTGTGCATCTTACCTATTCTCGGAGCCTGCCTGAGTGCTTGGGAAGAGTGGCTGTGAGAAAGCAGCACTTCTATCATCTCAAAGTCTTAAGCTCCATGTTCCTACATTCCCTCCACCTCCTCTCCTTCATCCCCCATCTCAGAATCCAGATTGCTGTGGCCCATGAGTCAATTGCCACCTTAATTACCAACACATGGCAAAGAGGATGTGTCCCTAGCCAGAGGCATTGACCGCCTAAAATTCACCACAGAGGAAACAGAGAAAGAAGGAAGAGCAGCTGCGGTAAACAGATGAATGAGCTATTATTTCAGTTATGCATAAACAGACTTAGTTACAGGCTTAGTTGTCGCTAATGAAGATGAAACAAAATGCATCATAATTGTAAGGATGCGTATTGTCATTGCAGTTATGGAAAGCAGTGTTTGTACTTGTGTGGCAGAGATGCAGGAAGAAGGGATAATCAGACACCATAATTGAATGTGGTGGTATTGTATTGCTGTATATCTATGATGCCGTTCAGTCAACCCAATATAATCCAGTAGTTAGTATTTAAGTATTTCAGACAATTAACATTCTATTCTTCCATTGAATGCATAGCACCCAGACCAGGTTACAACAACTGGTTGTAATCCTATGGCTTCCTGACATTCATTGGAGGACCCATAGGATTTTTCCGAGTTTCGGCCATGTTTCCCAGATCCTGTGTAACCCCAACCCCAGCTTCTGTCTTTCCTTCCCCACAGTGCTTTGGCTAGATGACCCAAGATGTCTACCTAGAGGAAATGCAGGGCACAAGGCACGCGATGAGTGAGATCACCACTGTCATGCTTTGGTCCCTGCATCAGATGCATGCAAGTCTTCAAGCAGAGATTTGTGTGCATTTAGCACAGAGGGTATTGAATCGTGCCCTTAAAAAAATTACAAGCTCAACTAAAAATGCAAAAAATGTAAAAAAATGAAACTCAGCTAAAGCAAGATTTCCAGTGTTAAGAACTGAAAAAAAAAAAATCCTCCCTTAATCATTGCATGAGAAAACTTGCTTTATGACACAAATGAGTGAACTGGCATTTAATGCAAATTGTGCCAACTGACACAGGCAACCAGATACCTCACCTGACAGAAGGATAATAACCTATGATTTTGCCATAGTATTTCACATATTTCCACTCTACTTGTGTGAGTCCTACAAAAGTTAAAGAACTGAATTTTGTTTGTTTATAGATATTTGAAAACTACAGTTGGGAAACATATGTGGAATTTGCTTTTAATTTAACATGCAACGTGAACACCCAGTTTAAGCAAAAGTATTTGAAGTATGGAATTCTGACAATGCTTTATTTTTTTAACCAGAATTATTCATCATCAGGGAAAGGATGTGCTTGGTTACCATCCAGGGCAACTGGCACGACTTCATATTGAATATCCTCCTGAAGGGCAGCCAAGGTAAGAAAATATTTTGTACAGCTCATCACCCTTTAGGTGTTCTAATGGTTTAAGACAAATTGTCAAAAACAAGCAAATACCTAGAATGTTCTGCATATGGCCTTTTAAAGCCTCAGCTTAGAAATCATTGTGAAGGCAGAAGACACACCATTTTTTCCTGTTTGCCCTGCAGCTCACTCCCTTATCTGATCCCAAATGTCCTTCCTTGTATTTTTAACTACTTGATAGCACTATCATCTAGCTAACTATCTGCTGTCCAGGATCCTTATTCTGTTATGAGAAGAATCCCAATATTACCTGAGGTTGTTTGATTTGCACACATTAGGTGGGTATTGTGAAAAACTTCAGGTGCAGAATTGTAGCAAGGAAAGGAAAGGAAAGGAAAGGAAAGGAAAGGAAAGGAAAGGAAAGGAAAGTTGCATGGCATTTTGATTTAAAAGGAAGAACAAAAATGGCAAAATGCTTACAAAGACCTTTGCCTGACAACTACTTTTCTCCCTACAAGGCTAGATGAATGCACAGCAAGAGTCCCCTTAAATCTCCACAAAGTCCTGAGTGGGGCTGGAAAGGCAGCATGGGGTAGGCTTTGGTGGCGCTACTGGCGGCCCTCCACACCTCCTCCTTCCCAGGACCTGCTCAGGTCTAGAACTGGTTAAGTTGACAAAACGTGAACAATCCACCTAATTTCAGTTGCTGACCACAAGAAAGTGGAGGATCTCAGAGAAAAGAAGAAAATGTACCCTAATGGTTAGACAGGATTAATGTCTCCATTTGAACAGACATCTTTACCTCTCATATGCAGAGCCACACCTTCATTTATTACTGGTCAGAAATGCAGGCCACTGTGTAATTGTATGTAATACTGGAGGTTCAAATAAAAATGTCTCAGGAAGACCCTTAATATAAAGCAACAACCCTCATACACACAAAAACACAAGACAGCCACACACCCTCTAGTGAATATTGGAAGAGATTTATTGTATGTTACAGTAGGCTTCTACAGTAGAATAAGTCAATGCAGTTTATACAGATTACCTACAAGATCCACAGCCTCATTTGCCCTATTTGAAGAACCTGATAGGGCCAGTTGAAGAACAATAGTTTATTATTAAACTCTCACTCTAAGCTGTCATGCTGCTAATGCCTATTAGACTACATTTGGATTATAGCTGAGGGGTCTATTTCAACAGGATATTTGAATAAGCATCCTGATACTTGGCTGATATGTGTTCATGTGTTATGAAGCCAGTTGTCAACATGAGATTATTAAACTATTTATGCTTTGCATTTAGACCTTTTACAAGACTGCAACCAGTTCCAGTAAAACATGAAACTGTACATCACCATGAGTATGACTATTTAGTTCTGAAGCAGTATATCCATTACCAAAGGATGAAGAAGAGAGTCCATGATTGGTATACACAAACCACATATAGAGAAGCATTCACATTGCCATGTTACAAGTCAGGTGGGTAAAGCACAGCCATTTAATATCTGCAATTCATATTTTGTTAGGAAAGCTCCTAGTGTTATTAAAAATTATGCATTGATTGACATGGTCACTTATATATTTATCTGTTGCAATAAAAAGGCCAACAGAACCTTTCAACATTACACAGACTATAGTCAAAGCTAGTAACTTCATTTGTAAGGAATAATTGAAAAGATAGCCAGTAGGTTGGGGTTAAAAAAAACCCTTTACCTTTTCTATTTACTTTATAAAAACATTTTATATAAGACATGGATGCACATTACAGGCTTCATCATAACTTGGAAGGGAGCCAGTAACCTCATTTTCCACTTGGAACTGACCAGAGTAAATATCAGAACAAACCAAGAACGAGCCCCCAACAGCACCACTGCATGTAGCTATACTAAAGTTTCACATGGCATTTAAAGGGTTTTGTTTGTTCCAACACCTAATTCTTACACTCTTAAACTGTACAAGCAATTAAAATTAGTATGAAAGCCTTCTTCAACTTTGCTTCACAAATCAAGTAAAGCCATTAGACCATGGATTAACAGGCTTCCATCAGATAATCCTTGCTCTAATATTTTGGCAGAAAGCCTTTCCCCTTACAATTGGCTACAGAGTTGAAGAATTCCTCCTCGTCCTTTCCAGAAGATAAGCTTGCACTTTCTTTGTCCTGCTATGAAAATATATAGGTCTGGATCCAAAGTTCCCTGGGCAAAAGGAAGCTTACATCTCTCAAAAACAAGCAAACTCCCAACAATCCCCTAAACTACATGGTAACACTTTTTTCAAACTGTGGAATCGGCAAGCATAGGAATCAGCAAGCATTATGACACTGTGTGTGTATCTTTTATTCAATGAGAAAAAGAGTCATAATAACAGTTCTTTTTAGAAGCATACACAACCTCTGTCCATTATGTTTTTCCAGCAGTCGAGTGGCTGCAGCTAAAGTGCTGGACTGATCCATGTATTTTTCCTCCCCAAGGAAGAGCTTGGTACAATTTTTAGTGGCTCCAGGCAAAGATCAACCATCTTAACAGTCCAAGCTATGCAGCTGCTCTTCTGCAATCTGGCTGAGATTCAGATAGGATTTATGAGCTCAGAATAACTGATGGAGAATTATTGGGCTGGGAATCAAATTAAAACACAGAATGAAGCAAATGATGAAATGAAACAAGAAAATGATACAAAAGCCTTATGCAGGGCATGATCGAAAAAGGGCAGTCTACTGAATCTTCAAGAAGGGAGCATAATCTAATGCCTAACTTGGTAATATTGATCTGAATGATCCAACGGCTGTTTGGGGCAGTTGTATCAGCAGGGAGGGGGCTGGGGAGAGGCAAGAGGAAATATTAGATGGTTCTGCTCAAGATTACCAACTTTTTTATTCATTAATTTTTCCTGAATTCAAGAAGGGCCTGTAACGACTTTTTTTTTTTAATTATAGAGGGCATTGAGGATAATCTTCGCCCAAGAACCACTGCTGAGGCATTGGCAGCTTGGAAAAGTACTTCTACCAAGAGGAGGGACAAGGTGAAGCCTTCATTTATGGGAGTCTGAGAAGTTATTTCACCAGAGCTTAAAAGAAAACATTATGGACATCCTTTCAAGATTGCTTGACAAAAATATTGTGGACTATGACTAGTGCTAAGCAAAATGGTGTGCCGTATTAAAAGATGGTCTGCAAGGATTTTAACCATTCTACTTTAATTATGGAAAATCTTTAAAATGTGTGTCAAAATGGAAAATGGAATTATAGTAAAATAGTTAGAACAGGGGAAATTGTAATGTTACCTTTCAGAATTGTAACAGTGCAGCACAGATTAGCCCATACGGCTTCACAGAAACAAACAGCTCTAGGCTCTCTGTCCTAGACAGACATCAGGGTTTTTCAAAAGCAGTTAATTTTACAAAATTTAGGAATGTGTTTCCCTCATTTGCTTTATCATTATACAGTTTTACTCTGCAAGGAGTTTTTCACCTGTGAATGGCGAATGCAGTAATTCTGGAACTGATGCCTACACTTTGCTCTTGCTAGAAATTTCACTGGAATTACTTGATTAGATCCATTTGGATTTCTGCACAAACACTCCAGTGCATTGACTAGCTATGCATTAAAAAATAAATCACCAGAAAGGTGCTCTTTCACCAGCAAGTGCTGTTATTACCACAATGTTCCTTACACCTATTCTGGTTCAATTTTTGTTCAAGTGCTCCAGTGCCATACAGGTACAAATGAGTTCACATCACCAACTTTGTATCTCTTTTTTCATTCTAAACTGCATCTGTTCACCCCATTTATTAAAAGTTAGGTTGAACTGGCATCACTGTTAATTTCCCAGTCAACACTCGAGAGAAGATGGTCACTTAACTACAGTATAACTTGCAGGAGTGCTAACAAAATGCTCCAGGTCTGTATTTAATGCAGCCAAGCAAAGGGAAAGTGATCTAACTTCTTGCTTCTACCTCACTATTAACAAGTCCCAACCAAAATTCCCCCATCAGTGTTGCCTATCATCAGATGAGGTGCTTATTATAACTTTTCTTGGAATGTGAACTAGCACAGCAGTTTGTGCTTCTTTCATACCTGCCTCCCATGCACATATTCATGAAGGTTGCATGGTCCATGTCCACCTCTGAGAAGTCCAAAGATAGTGCTTAATAGCAGACTATTAAAAAAATAAAACATGTGCCCTTAAAAAAAAACTTTCAGGGGTAAAGGAATGAGCTCTTACACAACACTATTAGAGCAAGGGCACTTCTACTTTACGCTTCAGTGGCCTGCAGAAGCCAACACAATGCTGGAGAGATCAAATGCTTGAATGCATGCAAGCACATTTGCTTTTGATTCTGCAATTGCATTCCTTTTAACAAAATCTGAGTCGTTAGAGCTTAAGGACCTGTGTGTGTGTCATATAGCCCTCCTCCTTTTTGTCGGGCAGTCAAGCCCACATACATCACAAGGGGTGATAGTTATAACAGGAATAAGTCCTAAGAAAAAAGAAAGCTCATTTATACCATCTGCGATATCATTCAAAGCCAAATAGGATGACACAGTAAGAGACTTTACAAAAGAAAAATGAGTTCTTCTTCCACTCAAATTTTTGACAGCTTTCAAAGGACTCTATAGGTGCACACGGAGTTCATCCTTGTTTGTAGTGTGCTGAGTATGGCATGCTGAGTATTCCCCATGTAAGCAAATGCATGTATATTGCAACACAACAAAACTACACCACACAGGCAGTCATTAGGTGATTGGAGGCAAGGTACCATCCGTATGCCGGTGACATCCAGCTCCGTTTCTCTGTAACTTCTGAACTGAGATAAACTGAACTTAATCTGAACCAGTGCCTGTATTTAATGATCAATTGAATGAGAGCCGACAAACAGCCTGAATCCTGATAAAATGGAGATTGTATGACTGGGTGTTTCCTAGCTACAGGAATTGGAAAGACAGCTTATTTTTCACAGGGTTGCATTCCCTCAGAAAGAACAGGTACATGGTTTGAGGGTGCTCAATATTGTCATTAGGAGTCCAAGTGGCTTCTGTAGCAAGAGGTTGCCTTTTACCAATTCAGACCGGCAACCGTAGCCTATGCACCCATGCTTAGATTACACTAATGCACTATCCTTATGATTGGTCTGAAAGCTGCAGCTGCTTCAGGAAGTAGCAGCCATTCAGCCCAGTGAAGTGTCTGGGCTTGTACCTTTATATCACATTTGACACAATTGCACCTGCTATTAGCTACTGAGCCAAGTACAAGGCATTGCTGTTGCTACTTAAAACCCTGAGCAGCATGAGATCAGATTGCCTTCATCAATACTTATGCAAGTGTTAAGGTAATTCTTCAAGATCTTGCTGCTTAGGCCAACACATACAGATTGACATCTTGCAGCAACCAGGAATGAAGCCTTCTCCATGATGGAGTCATGGAAGAATCTCTGCCCTCATATTCAGGGGGGTATCAACTATATCATGATTTAGGCACCAATGAAAGACCCATTTCTTTATTCAGGTCTCCCAGGTGATGGCTGGCCGGTCTATTTGTTTCTAATTATGGTGCTGTTTAAACTAATTATAGTATTTTCATTAATGTTCTATACAAATGTGTTAGCAATTATATGCATTTATGCATAATGCATTTTGTTAACCCCTTAAATATGTTCAGGTGTATATAAATCTATTAATTATTATTGGTAATAGAAAAAAATAACTGTACCTTTAAAAATAGAATATAAGAAAAGCCCTGCATGTGGCCAGTAGTACATATGGCCACTAGCCCTCTGCACTCCACCAACTGGAATACAGAAGTATGAGTCACTCTTGCATTATACATGCTGTCAAAACAAAACAACTCAACCATGGACACCATTAGTAAAATAGGCAGAAAAGGAAGAAAAAACTGGAGTAAAGAAAATCTGTTCTCTGCATGCTATGCAAGTTCTAGAAATTAAATCTAGATGAAAATCAGGTACAGAGCTTATCAGTGAGAATGTTAAAAGGGGCAGAATCTAAAGTTCCATGGATAAATGTGTACAGTGAGAATTTTAAAGTGCCATAATCAAAGCTATGTCCAGGAAAAAAATATAGTAAATACTATTCTGAGCTTCAATGTTGGGTTCTTTTTTGAAGTTTTCAGAAGTCAGAAAATGAATCTGGGCACAACAGTGGATTATTGGCTCAAAAATGATCAGCTCAGCATATTGTACTGAAGCAAAAGAGAGAAAAAACTAATGCTGTATTTTTCAGGAACAAGTGCATCTGAGTGGGTATTGTTTGAGTCAGAAACATTAGAGAGCAAAAGCATATTTAGCACTTCCAAGAATAAACTTACATTTGGGTTTTAAAAATAGTTTTACAGGGTTGTTTTGGTTATTTAGAGGCACTTGAGAAAGTTAAAGGTTGTGGGGTGCTGGGGACATTTAAGGTAAGAATTTTGAAGGGGTGCAAGAATGAGGAAGCAGAGACACCTTATCACGTGAGTTGATTACTGCTCACACAATTCTGAATCCAGTCCCTGATTTCTTAAAGAAAATGCTAGTATTAGTTTAATCATTGATTCCTGCATAAAGACTTTCTTCAGCAACTGTATACAGTAACAGATTAATAAAATTTGGGGGACCATTATGTACAACATACAAAGCAAGCCAAGAAACCCAATTCTGAGGGGGGGAGTGAGGGGGGGAGAAAGAGATTAAGTGCCATGGTTTATCTCATGTGAAACTTAAGCTTCTGATCACATTCCAATTAAATGTAGATACATGTATATTTTTGTACCTATGATTTTGCTACATAACTGACACAAGCTCACTCAACAGTTGGTAAGCATCACCTAAGTTAGTTTTATTCTAGTTGTTCTAAATGTTTACCCATTATAAAGATTGTAAGCACTGTCCTTTGCTCCTTATAGGTTTACTTAGTAATCTTGTTGTATAGTTGTGTCTATTCTTTGCTTTCATTGTCTGCATTTTTAACTTTATCTTAAAATAACATTTCATGTAGGGAAAAACAATAGAGATGCTAGTTATTACGTTGTTGAACTGAAGGTACATTAAAGACAGGATTACAGTCTGTGGCGAGTATGAGGCACAGAATAATTAGACACACTTGTCCTTTCATGTACTACTGATACCATTCTAGAACTTACAACAAACTTTCCCAGAAAGTGAGAGTGGTATTTTCATAGAAAATAAGTGTTTTAAGTTCTTCCCTCCCCCACCCACCTCTTGTAAATTTCCACCAAAAATTTATGATAAAATCCTCTTTTGGTAAGAGTTTGAGCTGCCAATTATTTTTCATCCAGAACTTAGGAATGCAACTAAAACTTATTAAAATACATTTTCTGAAGCATGATCTCATTCATTACAGACTTTAGCTGGACTAACAAACTGTTATACTCCTAGATGCTAGCAGCTTACACTCCATTTTTAGACACTTCAGCACTAAGAAATGTGTAGGGGATTCTTCTAGCTGTTAGCAGTGTAATTTAGGCAATGGGCTATTAGAAGACTAACTAGCAGCCTTAACTCTTAACAAAATGTCAGTAATACTATATATGTATGCCCAAATATTGAGTAGCATGTGCAATTCTGTCTCATCTTTAAAAAAATAATCACATTAACAAAGGTATGGAAGGGTTTCTCTATAAGAAAAGGACATGTTTTTTAGCTTACAGAGAAAAGCCCTGTGAGAAAGAGCAGGCCATGAATGATATTAGGAGAGTTAAAGAATGTAGTGGAGATTAAAGTTACTTATACCTCAGTTGAACTGGCATTCAGTGTAATGGCTTTTGCAAATCACAAGCATGAGCTACATAACTGATTGTCTTTGCCAAACAGTCTAACACAGATTCAGGTAGTTTTAAAAAATCAATTTATAATAAGACACTGCCTTCAGGGACTATTTACGTAGGTAGACAAGAGCAGCCATAATTGGACTGCCAAAATCTGATGTGCATACTCAAGGAATAAGCTATTCAACATCTATTAAGCCTATTTCTAGTCATTTTTAAATAGCTGATACTGGATAGATTTAGCAATAGGCTAATGAACTGACGGATCATTGGTCTGAAGAAGAACAAGCTGCAATGCAAAAGTGTTGTAACTTTTAAAAACTCGGTGATCTTCTTACAGTAGTGAGCATACGACTCCTACAATCTGTTTTCAATATTTTCATTTATAAATTAAGTTGTTACACTGGATACATTTTAAGCACCAATTCCAAACTATCACTCATCATCTTAGTTTTAATAAAAACTAACAAATTTTCTTTCTTCATTATTAAAAAATCATCCCTTTCTTTAATCACACACTACATCAGCAGCCATACAGGGAATAACAGCTTTAGGAATACAAATGGGGATGTAAAATTCTGTGCAAAACTGCATTACTCATTCTAGGCATCTAAAATTTCAGGAAAATTTGACCACCAAAAGCAGAGAGGCAATAAAGACAAATGGTCATTAAATTAATACAATCTTAGACCTTGAAATAAATTTTGGGAGAAACAGTTGAAGAAAATCTCTGGTGGCACCATGACAATGGGTGGCAATGGTGACAAACACTCTGGAATTTGTGAAGTGGTAAGATTAACGATACTGATAGTTGTTAAAGTCTTTACAGCACTAACAACAGTTTTTCCAGATCTTCTCTAGCTCTTTTACATACAATGTCCAACTTTCCAAAAACTTTGTTTATTGGACTAAGGATAACAGATATAAGAACAAGCAGTCTATGGAGTGTGCTTCCTTTTCTTTCATTTCTTCTGTATCTTTAGAAGAGCTGAATCATTGACTCCCTGGATTTCCCTACTCCAATCCATTTAACTGTAAAAACAAAAAAAATTCTTACATCAGGTTTTGAAGGAATTGATCTCTTACAATACAGAAGACACTTTCAAAGCCTTCCCAAATCAGAAGATTTCAGTAATTATGGCACTATATTGGGCTAATTGTGCGATATGCTACTATAGGAGGTGCCAACATTTTGGGCCCATGGGTAATTTTGGGAATTTGATAAATTGCTGTGGGCATCATCACAAAATATCTATGTATCACATCTATGGGTCTTAGGTGGCATCTTCTTCATGAAAACAGCATTACTGTATTACATAGATAGACTTTGTACTGGATCAGTGTCCATATTCACTGATGTACAAACTCTTTTAAATTATTTACCTGCTTCATGGAAATAACAGATAGAAAGGGAAATTGCTTCTCTAAGCTAAAAACTGGTATTACAAAACTGACTGACACTTACCTCCTATAATGCAATGAACTGAGGATTTTACAGTGCTTTCAATATAAGAACAGGCAGCATAGAGATGCCATGTTCAAATGGATACATTAGGATATTTGTTCTAGTTTTGTTGAAGCCTGTGCATAAGTGCTAGACAATGACATTTCAAACAAAGCCATGTATATACATTTTTAAAAAGGAATATAAACAAATAAAAAGTAAAAATTTGAATGCCCATTATCACCTTGTAAGGGACCCCACTGTGGATTCCTCTGGAGGTACCTGTGAGTGCTGCACTGTGAACTCCTGTACTACTACTTGATATGTACTGATCTGCACTGTGGCATCATTTATCTGTGTGGACTGTTGTGCTGGGTAGCAAATAACACATGGTTTATTTTAGGGTTATCTGAGGATCCTCTGACCCAGGAACAATCCCTATTACCAGGGTTTGCAAGACATAGCAAGCCAAAATCCAGTGAACCAGAACACATTTGATCCTCTAGTACAGGTGAACTAAGTCCTTTCAGGTGAATTAAGCTTATGATGGGTTATTTTATCATGCAAACAGGCCCACTGCACAGATACTCCAATCATGGAAGGCCAAAAATTTTCAAGCAGTTCTGCCAAGTCTTCTGAAATTACATAAGAACAATTTTGGTTTTACAGGCAAAACTACAGATTTTGCTGATATTTGCAAAATCTAATATATGATGTCTCTAGTATTTATTATCAAGTAATTCCTTCTTAGAACTGAAGATGTAAAAGTATTAACAATAATTTCTAATGTAAATTCAGTCTATGCAAGTATCAGATTTATCAAGGAATGAAAGCAGTCATTAAAGTTTAGCAAAGCTGGGAACACATTCAGCTAGTGCAATTATAGAGAACAGTAATTTCTGAATATTGTTCTCTAGTAATCCAAGGTGACTCAAAAGGTTCTTCCCATTCAATTTAAATTTTGCCTTAAATTGTAACAATTCCCTTTTTAAAAGCCAAGGCCACAAAGTGCTCTAGAAACAAGCAAATCACTTTACAAATGGAAATGTTACCCACATTAACTTGGGAAACAAAGAACTCAGATTTCTTGGTATTTCATTGTCACTGAATGTGACTTGTATGGAACAAATGCTTCTAAAAAGAGCTACCAACACAAATTAAGTACTGTTGTAAAGCAGCATGCAGAGTCTCAGGGCCATTTTACCAATTATGATATTCAGAGTTACATTTACAGATCTGAGTTGGCAAGAGATCAGTTATAAATACATTGAACAGTAAACCTCTCTTTAACAAAGCATCTCTTTTGAGGGACTTCTGCTTCAAGTAGGTCTCTTGAAACCAACAAATCTAGTTTACTTGAGACTCTTGAGACATACAAATCTGTTTTACTTACTTGGAATGCCTAGCTCCATTTCTATAAATCGAACATAGTTTTGTGCATTTACAGGCAATTGATCAAAGGTCCTTGCATGTGATATATCTTCTTTCCATCCTGAGAGGGTCTCATACTGAACCTCCACTTTATTTAAGACTTCCTGGTTTGCTGAGAAGAAAAGTAGCAGTATAACAACACAGTGACATCAGATCAATTATGCTACTTAAGAAATTCTGTAACCTCAAGTGACCCATGGTATAAAAGAAGTTACACTTGCATGAGAATTTTTAAGGTGTGGCTATGAACAGCTCAGAAACAGCATGTCCTTTATTTTATCTCAGAAAATTATATCATAAAAATAGGATTATGGAACAAAGGTTTGGCTGTCCAAGAGCTCAGGAACAGACTTGGTGCATTTGAAAATGGGAGGCTATCCTAAAATTCATCCTAAAATACAGAAAAGATGTTTAAAAAGGAAGGAAAAAAGTAATTCTATTATTTTATGGTTTGCGAGCTGAATTATCAGTACAAATAATTAAGAATGCAATGTTATTCCCATTTACCCTGTAAGTATACTTCACTGAGCTCAGAGGGACTTGCTTCTGAGTAGACAAGCATTACTTTGCACTGTGCAAGTTCTAAACTTGAATAACCATATCAGAGAAGTAAGTAGTGTGGAGAATTTCAGAGTCCTTATAGGAAAGATACAGGGAACCCTTTGACTTTCAGATATTGCTGGACTCCCAATTCCCAAAAGCCTCAACCAGTATGGCTCAACAGTCAGGGATGAAGGGAATTGCCATAATCTACAGGGCAACTTGTTCTTTACAGTTCTCCTACAGGTTTGTAGGGAAATTGTACAACAGTATTAGGGAGCTTCCAGCAGCAACTATAATAGTAGCAAAGTTATAATATGAACACATTCACTCACCTGGAAAATGAGGTATGATTTTATTGTCTATTTTGTAAGCAACACCAACTTTAATTTCTGGAAATACATCCAAAATATCCAATTTGGTAAGAGCCAATCTGTTTTGAAATAAAAATATTGTCTTTTTAGTTCTAAGTAGAAAAGCATGAACTACTAGATTTCACATTAAATTTACCTTTCAAAAATGGTTTAAAGTTTGTTTTAGAATTAATATAAATCTGCATCATTAAAAACAGAAAAACTTTTATCACTAGGTTTACGTAGCATGCCAGTACATTGCTCATTCTAGGCAATACTGTCAATTGATGGCCTATCTGACTACAGTCAAGTATTTCATGAAACAAGAATGTGTGTTGTAGGTTGCTTTTACAATGGTTTTAGAAACAGACTTTTGTTTAATACTTTGTTATTTTGCTTTGTTTCTATTTTAATTACACTGTTTTAAACGTATTGAACTATTGGCAAACCCTGGTGTTCCAAGGTAAAAGCTTAAGAGACAAACAGTTCAGTGAAATTGGTCACATTTACCAACTTTGTTAATTTTTTAAAAAACTGTAATAAATTGCAGCGAATTACATCCACTCTATTGCTGACTTCAAAAACTGATTCACATTTACTTCTCCTCACCCACCAGATCCAATGGCAGGGGGAGACCTCATAGAGCCAGACCTCTAGTGTTGATCTATGCACACTTAGAGGTTAATATGGGAAGAGCTGATCCTTCACATGTTCCACTCCCAGACAGGGTAGGGCTTTTAAAAGGTCAACACCAACACAATAAAGACTGGGAACAGATAAGCAACCAATATTTGTTTGTTTGTTTGTTATCTATAACCCCCAATAACTCTCTGGTAGCTTATAACAACCAGTGGAGCTGAAACAATAGAAGAGTTACATGTTCTGTGCAATATACACTAGTTAAGCACTTAGCTGCTGCATTTTGAGCCAATCACAATTTCTAGACACTTTTCAAAGGCGAAATAACCTTTATCTTGCCTCCATTCAGCTCCATCCAGTTTTTCACAGGCTACATAGTTCTCTTCACAAAGATCAGTTGGAAAAGCAAAAGATGGGGAGCTCAGAATCTTCAGTATATTACTGACGCTTTAGCCCATCTGCTTAAACTAGCCCAAAAGTTTCATACAAATATTAAACAATATGGAATGGAAGATAGACTCCTATGGCACCCCACACAGCAAAGTGACAATTTCTAGCAACTTCTAAGTTCTGAACCTAGGAAAAAAGAAATCAAACGTGTTTTTATAAGAAGGGGAATACTTGGCTCAACAATACTGCAAGTGAGAAGAATTTTAGAACTGTTGCAGATCATAAGCAGAATATGAATTGACAATGTGATGTGACTGCAAAAAGGGCAAATGCTATTTTATGCTGCACTAATGCAAGCATCATCTTTCAAATCCCGTGAAGTGCTAGCTTCCCTTCACTCAGAACTGGTTAGGCCTCATCTGGAATAGTGTCCAGTTCTGGGCACCATAATTTAAGAAAGCTGCAGACAAGCTGGAAAGGGTTCAGAGGAAGACAACAAGGATGACCCAGGGACTGGAAACAAAGCCCTATGAGGAGAGATTGAAAGAATTGGACATGTTTAGCTTCAACAAGAAAAGACTGAGGAGGGATATAATAACAAGTCTACCAGTACTTGAAAGGCTGTCACAAAGGGGAAGACTAGGATCTCTTCTCAATCGTCCCAAACTGCAGGACACTGGTAACAGGAAGCCAGGGTCTGGCTGAACATCAAGAAGAACTGTCATACTTAGAGCAGTGCAACAATAGAACCAATTACCTAGGGAGGTTGTGGTTCGACGACACTAGAGGCACTCAAGATGCAACTGGACAGCAATCTGAGAGGGATAGTTTAATCAGGAGAAGATGGTAAGCTGGATATAAGATTTACCGTATTTTTCGCTCTATAAGACTCACCTGATCATAAGATGCACCTAGTATTTAGAGGGATCCATGGAAAGCTTCCTAATAATCACAGGCACATTCCCCACCACTTCCCCATGGGCTTCATTAAAAGACGGGTTGCCATTTGAAAACACACACCAACCTGTGATTAACAGCTCTCATGTGTGCTGGAGGAGGGGGGCGGAGCAGAGCGTGCCGAGCAAGTGCCAGCCAGGTGTGGTGTAGCCGGGCTGGCAGCATGCTGGCGGTGGTCTTCCGGGCGGCATGGTGGCGGCGGCAGGTCTTCCCGGGCGGTGGGGGTGGGCAGTCCGTCTCTCCGTGTGGCCAGCGGGTTAAAGCCCGTGGCTCCTCCTCCTCCGCACCACTCCCCCTGAGAGGCACAGCTCTCACCTGCGCTGGGGGGGACGGAGGAGGGTGCGCCGAGCACGTGCCGGCCAGGTGGTGCCACGTGGTGCAGCCGGGCCGGCAGCGCACCAGTGGTTGTCTTCCAGGCAGCGCGGCGGCGGCAAGTCTTCCCGGGCGGTGGGGGTGAGCAGTCCGTCTCTCCATGCGGCCGGCGGGTTAAAGCCCGCGGCTCCTCCTCTGTGGCAGGTCTTCCCGGGAAGTGGGGGTGAGCAGTCTGCCTCTCCGTGCGGCCGGCGGGTTAAAGCCCACGGTTCCTCCTCCTCTGTGGCAGGTCTTCCCGGGCAGTGGGGGTGAGCAGTCTGTCGCTCCGTGTGGCCGGCGGGTTAAAGCCCACGGCTCTTCCTCCTCCACACTGCTCCCCGAGCGGCACAGCTCTCGCCTGTGCTGGAGGGGGGGCGGAGCAGCACGTGCTGAGCGTGTGCCGGCCAGGTGGTGCCACGTGGTGCAGGCGGGCCGGCAGCGTCCCGGGCGTCAGGCACACACACATTTACTCTATAAGACGCACAGACATTTCTTATAAGACACAGACATTTCTTACTTTTGAGGGGGGGAAAAGTGCGTCTTATAGAGCGAAAAATACGGTAATCTGCAAAGTGTATTGCAAACTAGTGGGCTAAAAGGAAACTTTTTATTTCCCCTGAGTACATTTTTAAAAGGCTATTTGTCTTTCAAACCAGCAACGCTGGATAGCACTACATAAACACAACTGTGGCAGAAAAGTAATTTTCTTGCCATCTTCACCAATACTGAATAAAATAATTGTTACTCCTCAAGCACCATGTGCGCCATTTCATGCCAAGCTGCTTAGTAAACTAAAGAGCCAACCAGAGTCTAAGTGTGAGTGTAGTAATTACCAGAATTCTCAGCTTCTGAAACCAACCAGGCCATCAAAGCCAGACAACTCATTCAGTACCATCAGCAAACCACAAAGATTAATCAGTTTCTGAAGGATTAACATTTTGACTGGTCTTCAAATTCTGTGGCGTTGTCTGGTTACTATAAGCTTAATATTTGGTTTGCATGTCATGGTAGCAAACCATGGGTTGTTTGACCCATGATTTGTGGGGGGGGGGGGAATGCTGTGCATTAAATGCTTCCATTTCCTGTAAACAACCTGCGGTCAGATCATGTGTAGGTTGTGGAGCAAATCTGGAGCACTGAGTTGACCAGATATTAACCTCTGGGCGGGTTAATCTCATGGTTGTTTAGCTCCTTGCTTTTGCAGGTCATGTTCCAAAATCGACAAACAAGCCAACTAAAGGTTATTTACCATAAAGGAAAACTAAGTACACATTTATCCACTGAATAAGCCAGTAGTCTAGGTTCATATATCACAGACACCTGCTGATCATGTACAGTAAACAGAACTGCTTCACATAAAGCTTGTGCCCCTGAAAATCATGGCTTAATCAATCCACAATCTGCTGCTCTGTGAGAACTAGCCAAGTAAACACAATCCAGTGGAAGCTTGCATGACGGACAAGAGGCAGAGAACATAGCAAGCCTTCTCCCTACTCACTGCCTACTCCTACAAGGTCCACTTCATCACTCTTTGAGGAGTTGGGGGGGGGGGGAAGGTAGAAGACCAAAAGGTAATACAGCAGTGGATGCTTTTATTTAGCAGAGTGGGGTGGAGCGAAAGGGGAATAATGGTGTGTAGGCAAACAAATGGCTGGCATGCTGCTGCTTGCTTGCTTGCTTGTTGTGAAGTCGCGTCCGACCCATTGCGACCCCATGGATAACATTTCTCCAGACTTCCTGTCCTCCACCATCCCCCAGAGACCTCTTAAGCTCATGCCGACTGCTTCAGTGACTCCATCTAGCCACCTCATCCTCTGCCATCCCCTTCTTATTTCGCTGTCAATTGTTCCCAGGCATTAGGCTCTTCTCCAGGGAGTCCTTCCTTCTCATTAGGTGGCCAAAGTATTTGAGTTTCATTTTCAGCATCTGGCCTTCTAAAGAGCAGTCAGGGTTGAATGCTGCTGCTAGCAAGATGGAAGTGTGACGGGGAAAACAGGGAAGAAGGAGAGTGTGGGAGGCTAGCATTGTAGTGGCAGGAGAGCATACCACTGAACGAAATGCTGGTGTGCTGCTGCTAGCAGGAAGGCAGTGTTAGGGAGGGACAGAAGAGGAGGAAGAGGGGTGGCAAGTAGCCTCACAGAAAAATGATGATGCCATGATAGAGTCCTGTGCCTTTTTCCAGCACAAACTGAGATCAGAAAAGTTGTTTTGTTGTTTATACAAAGCTCCAATGAACAAGTTATACTGCAGGAAGGGATATTGCTCTGGTAAAACAAGCTTTCATCATTAGGAGTGTTCCTGAGATGAAGAGAAAATGATACATATCCAGACATAAGTGGACCAATGGCAAACAGGCTAGATACATGTCAGTAGTTGCCCACCCATCAGTGCTACAAACAATCTAAGGCTTACACAATGGAAATGGGTAAAGAGAGTGAAGGGTAATGAGCCACAGGTTACAAAAAAACAAGCCATGTTGTACTCGACTGTTTGGCAGTGGTGCATGGGTTAGCTGTGGATAAAAACCGACTGGCTTAATTAGACCACAGGCCTTTGTGCTTTGTGCATCGGTCTAGTCTTTGCCACTGCATTAAAACCCAAAATGGATGCAAGTGTAAAAGATTAAGCCCACCGCTGCCCACTAAGACCTCAGTAATACCTGACAGGTAAGCACACTCATCTAGGACAAGTCCCAGATGTGCATGCTACACTATGTACTGATTTGGCAATCAGCAGCATCATTCCAAGAACTGGGTTTTTGCTGTAATGACAGCCAGGGTACTACAGACACAACAAAAACAAATGGGGAAAGCTCTCTAGACTGGCATGTTCCTCTCCTCCTGCCCATTGGGGCACTAGGCCTCCACAGAGGCTGCATGCCCAAATCACAGAACATACACTGTAACCCTTTTTAAGCCACAATATCAAAGTGAACAAAACCTTAAGCTAAAAGCTAACTGAAAAATCAAAAATCAGCACTTACAATAACTCTATCCATAACTCTACCAACATTACTCTTTTTCTCACAGCATTTTTCCAAATAAGGGAAACTAAGAAAGCAGCAGTTAGAATGGCAAACATATTTTAATATGTTACTAAGTTACTAATTTTAAAAGAAACAGCTGAAAACCTTTTATACCATTAAATCTTAGAAGGCCCAATTAAGATTTTCCCATGTAAATTCCAAAGTTTAATTCAAAGACAGACATATTAACATAATATACTTTCCTTAAGAAAGGAATGATATTACAATTCATGTAGTCAACTTCAGTATGGTAACTTTTAACGTGTATTTCTATAGTGGAACCTAGAAAACATTGCTTTTTGCTATGGGGCTGGGAGACAGTTTCATCCCTGTTACTTTGTAAGTGTTAGTACTGCATCCCTTATGGTGCATATGACGCTCATCTTGTCACCACTGTAAACTACTCACGCAGTGAATCCATTGATCATGTGAGCGTATCTAAGCAATACCAGATCCAACCAGCCACATCGTCTCTTTCGACCAGTTGTCACACCAACTTCTTTTCCTCGTGTTTGCAGTAGTTCTCCAATTTCCTAAGAAACAGAAGATAATCATGTTAATATTTTATAATATATTTTATAATGATATAGTAGTATTTATTATACACAGCATTTCAGGCAATAGAAGGAAACAATAAATTTTACATTCCCAGCTCCACACAGTACATCAAACTATTAAAAATACTGAAGCTACCCTTATAAGACCAGGTTTCAGTGTGAGAATACTAGCTGAGAAGGCCAGTTCTCAACATTTCATGTTGATTCCACTGTATAATGCCTACCTTCTACCTCACAGGAGTGTTGTAGCTCAGTTATTGTTTGTGGAGCTCTGTGATCCTTGGCCACCTGTTAATTCAGCTTGAAATTAAAAAAGCCAAACTGGATCAGGTGCTTCACTATTATTAACAAAGATTCTGCAACTGGAACTTAGTTAAGAACTCTGTTGTTGATTCATGCAAGAATAGAACTACTCTCCAACAGAAATATATGCTCTGTAGGACTGGGGAATAAGCAGTAATCAAAAACCTTTAAAAGCACATATAAACATTTAAGTAGATCTGTGGAATGAGGAAATTTTATTTAGATAATTAAGAATGCAATTATTCATAAACTGACACTCGTTATAGTACAGCCATGCATACTTTAAATAATATTTCTCAGAATAAAACATTTATTTACTTGGGCCTAGTAACTCATTAACTTTAATAAGATACTTACATTGTCTTGTTCTGTAGGAAAGGCACCAATTCCAACTCTGGTTGTGTATGCTTTAACAACTCCATATACTTCACCAACATTCTGAGGTGGCATTCCCAGGCCAGTGCAAACACCACCCACAGTGCAATTTGATGAGGTCACAAAAGGGTAAGTCCCTACAGGGAGTAGGAGAGAAGAAAGAAGTGAATAGGAACATCATCTTCTAAAAGGTCTGTGGGTGTGGAGTACTGTAAATCACAATAAATGCTTATTCATATATTATGGCCCTGGTGCTGATTTAATTCTCATATGCTGCGCTTTAGTTTAAAATATAGTTGTCCACTCCCGGAAAGTTTCCAGTGTCCAGCAAAAGTTACATTGTGTACCTAAACATTTCTAATGCTGTCACATAGCAATTTACGCTTCCCTCATTTTGCTCCAGAGTTGCTCACAACTCTCTGTAGCAGATTTTTTAAAGCATATTGTGTGCAGGAGAAATCTACCCCCACCCCATTCCACTGATGGAAGTGATTCTGCCAGGAGGCGGCATTAGCTGGATAGAACCCATGGTTTCAATGCTTCTTTGAAGTTAAGTTTATGTAACACAAACATCACTTGCAACTGCTATATAATCCTTCAAGTACTCATTTCCAATGGCTCTCTGCTAGGGGACCTGCATGGCAAAAACTTCATACATTGTGAATATGGCAAGCACAGAAATTCTTTCCAAAAACCAGGAGCTTCTATACTTACCAAAATCAATGTCCAGCAGTGCTGCATTTGCACCCTCTACTAAAATCCTCTTTGGTGGGCCATGCAAGGCTTCATACATAAAATATACACCATCCCTCACCATGGGTTTGATCCTTTCAATGTAACCCTAAAACAAATAAGTATATTCTAGAAATGATGATTAAATTTGTGAATTGTGATATACAATACAATTTTAATAAAGTCCAACTAGAAAAATAAATTGTTCTAGGCTAGTAATGAAGCCAAAGTCACCTCCATTTGAAATTTATCATGAATGCCAAAAAAAAAAAGTACACATCATAGAGCAGTATCATAGTTTAGGCAACATTTAGTGTTCTCTCTTACATTAAAAATGGCAAAGAGCCCTGCTGAATCAGATACAATATCCATCTAATCATTAACCCTATTTCCAACATTTGCAAATGAAGCAGAACAGAAAGAAAACAGCCATGCTCTATTCTTGTCTTCCAGTAGTATTCAGAGGTACACTGTTACTGAAACTGGAAGATCCAGTTAGGTGTCATGGCTAATAGGCATTTTTAGTCCTAACTGCAAAGAAATTTGTCTAAAGTCAGCTTGGATTAGATAAGTCAACTACCTTAACTACCATCATCACATCTTTTGGCAGAAAATCTTGCAATTTGTGTTGTGTGACTAACCTGTTGACCTGACCATGGACAGGCATCCAAAGGGTATGACAATAGTCTGAAGCTAGCTTTGACAGGTAGCAGTTAATATCAGTCCTTTATCACTCATCGTCTAGATTGTCCCTCTAAGCAGAACCAAATTCAGCCCTCCAGAATGCCGCACATTGCCAGAACCCCTTCCACTGGGGTTATAAAATGCACTTTCCCGACCACTGATAATTGGGTGTTTTTGTGTTTCTCTCAAGGCTTAGTCACTGGCAAGCAAGAGCTTTAAAAATATGCTGGTTTTTGACCCCACTCTGGTTTGTTGCCTTTGGACCTTCCCTTCACTGTGAAGTGTCCCCTGAGGTATTTTCTTTAATCTGGCCCTCAGGCCAAAAGAAGCCCAACATTCCTTTTCTAAGGCCATTTTATTCCATTCTTCCTGAACTGAAGAAGGCCTTACATGGCTACTCCGCTGACCTACCAGCTCTTAGCTAGCCTCTGCTCTGTGTATCATCTGCATCGGTGAACAGTCAGAAGGGAATGAGACTCCTGGTTTAAAGGTGACTAGGGCCTAAGGGGTGCCAGTTCAGGAGTCCTTGGTTTGATGAGGTTGTGGACTCAACTGCTGATTTCCTGATCCAGCTCGCCCCTTCTCTGTGTCAGTGTTCTTGGCTGTTGTACAGGGTTGGGATCATGAGATTATTGATTGTCAAACTGAGCACAGATGTTTTTGGAGTAACCATGAGCTCATTTTATAATACAGGAACAGAAATGTAGGCCCATCCACTTTCTATAAACCATGTATAATTTTATAATTATTTATAGCAAAGAATATGTACCAGGAATTTTCTGATTTATGGCACCTGTCTTTCAAACTTAGAAAAATGGCAAAAAAAAGGAGACATGATAGCGATGAACAAAATTAAGCTTGGTATAGAGAAAGCAGGCAGTACAAGAATTTGAAGTCACAACACAATGAGCTGGGGTTTGAGTGCAAGAACCTGGGTTGCCCCATGAAGCTGACTGGCAGGAAATTCAGGACATATAAAAGGCAGTACTTCACATAGCACATAATGAAACTATGGAATTTACTTACATAAAATGCAGTGATGACACTAATTTGGGCAGCTTCAAAATGTGTTTGGAGAAGAGTTTCAATAGCTACTAGTCCTGATAGCTATATTGTACAGTTATCAGAGGCAGTGTGCTTATGTACACAAGTTACTGGGGAACAGGGAGAGGGGGGGCTGCTGCTGTTTGCATGTCCTGCCTGTGGATTTCCTGTGGGTCATCGTGTGAACAGAATTCTGGAAAAGATGAATCCTTGGTCTGATCCAGCACAGTTCTTCTTACATAGAAACACAGAATGAGTCAGAAAGGGCATCACGGGCCATCTAGTCTGACCCCTGGCTCTAGCCAGCTCTGCTCACAACATGCATTCTTAAATAAGTGACAGTGCTACATGAGTTTTCAGCATGACTGTCACATCAATGTGGAATATACACTTTTGAAAGGGAGTGCAGGTTCTTCTAACAGAAATAAATTAACTACTACATAATCACCCAGTTTACAGTCATCAGGGCTTGTTTAAGCCACGGATCATGCCAGGAGTCATGACCATTGAGTATGTTCAGACAACACAACAAAACATGCCCAGGCATGTAATCAGGCAAATGGGATCTTGCACCTGCAGTGGCTTGCCATGGTGACTTGTTTAAACCATGGTTATTATGTGAATCAGGCCATTAACTTTAATCAGTAAGTAACTCAGAGAGTCAAGTCTGAGTTCCATGCCAAAACATCTGGTCATCTTTTTAAAAACTGCTTAGAAAATCCCATGCATGTAACTTAGTAATCAAAGCCAAAAATTAGTTTTGACTGCTGTTTTCTGTGTCAGAAGCAGTTAAAATACGTCTCTCATTAAAAAGAACATACACTGAAAAATCTGGCTACATATAAACAAATAGCTCTATAATCTTACCTTGAGTCTTTTCAATTCTCCTTCAATGTCTATTTGTAAGGTAGGGTAAATAGACTTATACTGGTTGGCCAACACTTTGAATCTAAAAAATACAGTAAGTAATATTTGAATACTATTATAATCGGAACATTGCATACAAGCCTTTAGTAGAGATTCTGACTTGAGATGAGAGAAAGAAAGTAAAAATATGAATGAGAAATCCAGTAAGGATTTATTAGAATACAAAATCAGAATCTACAAGTAAGTAAACTGATAGCCCTAGTAATTAATATATTTGAAATGTAACATTACTCTAGAGAAGTGGTTACCTTTCTGAAAATTCATTGAAGTCAGAAACTAGATCACACATTCTGAGCCCACTTCGAGCTGCTTTAGAAGAATACACTGGACCAATTCCCTTTTTTGTAGTTCCCAAGCTTTAAAACACAAAAATAAAAAAAACACACACATACTACACAATCTGGTGACTCTCAATCAAAACATGATGACTAATTTGTTCATTCTAAATTTTTCAAAATATAATCATTTTAGTAGCTTTATGCACTGGGGTCAAATATGCCCAAACATGATATCACATTTGGAGAAGGATGGCCTAGAACCGATCAAACAGTCCAACTTATCCCCATGAGTGTTAATCGTATCACTCATGTACAAATACTTTAAAAAGTACATAAAAGGCAACAGGATAACCACTAATTTGCTTTCAGATCTCAACAATGAACATATGTAGCATATTTATAATATCACACTGCTTAAATACACTTGTTTTATGTGGATTGCAATACAAAACTCTTGAGTTTTCAAAGGAAGTCAAGTGTTTCCTCAAGGTCTTAATGGTGTAAAGCTTAGCATGCTAGGATTACAAGCTTTGGGAAGCTTAAATAAAAGCACTATGAACTGCTGTGAAATACCAGTAAAGCAACATAAAGATTGTTTCTTACACATGCTTCAGTGTTGCTAAGATTTGAGATTATTAAAATAATACTGAGTTGTCAAGATAGGCATTCAACATAGGCTGTACAGTTTATTCTTTAGATTAAAGATATTTGCAGCTGGAAATCTGGAATTTGTTATGTGCTCTGCAGTATATTTTTACCTTTGACTCTCAAATTAGTCAGTCATCATATATGATATGGAGAAAGTATTTGCCTATTTCTACCAAAAGAGTTTAAAACTACTCAGTTGATCTGTACCACCTGGACAACAAATTAGCCAATGGCTTAAGATGGGATGGAAAGAAAATAGATTTCCAGATGCTTTAGATTTCAGTTTATAACATGTATGACCACTGGCAGAGGCTCCTGGGAACTGAAGTCCCAAAAATCTGGATCTTATCTTCTGCCCACCCCTAGCATAAGAGAGGCAGGACAGACAGAACCAATATAGATTACAATTATAAGTATGAAGAAATAATAGGATAAGAAGGGGACTACAGAGGAATGCTAGCACAGCTACTTGCTAGTCTAATATAATCAAATAAGATAGAGAACTGGTGAAATTATTTTAACAGACCCAACCGGATTTTGTTTTGTTTATTCTGTTACTTTATATGATATACAAGTACCTTCATATACTGTAAACAAAGATCACATTCTGAGATGTAAATATGTTAATAGCAAACCAGTCTTCTCAGAGAAGGATTTTCCTCCCCAACACCAGTATGAGACAATAGTGCAAGGACATCTTGGATCCATTTCCTATGCTCCTTCTGAAGCATTAAATAGCAATCACAAAACCTACTGAGGTGATTGCAAGGACTAAGTTTGTTCTGTTGATCTCTTTAAGACAATACTACTGGTTATTGCTTCCTCCTCCTCCCACCTCCCCACCATGTCACTTCTCTGTGATGGTAAAACACATAATTTAAAGATGAGTTACTGACAGAAACTTTCTTTTTTCTAAAGGTAATTTATTAAACATTTGACTACACTGTTTAGTATTGAATGGATGAAGATGAAATCACCTTTAAATTGTGCTACTGCTTAGGAAAAGATCAAAAGGGGAAAATCCCTCTAATTTTATCATTGTTCTTGCTATGGAGCACTAAATTTTACACTGTCAGCTGACATAACAAATAAATGAAATCTGTCTCACTGACTCTCAGGATAGACTGCCAAGGTACTAGCCAGGATTCTCTCCTTTTCTCACTCCCAACACTCTGATTTTGATTGTGCCATGATGTTGCAATGAATTCTAAGTGTTGAAACATATAAACAATCCCTTAAGTTTAGCAAAGGGTCTGCAAATTCCTCAACTATTAAGGACCATAACGCTGTCATTTCATCATGTGAGGGTTAAGTAAGTACCCACCACCCTCATGTAATATGGTATAGAATACTTTTCTTCTATAGAAAAGCTTGAGTAAAACTTCTCATTTCAAGTACTTGGAAACAACTTTTAGCAGCTGCATGGTTTAGGCTTCTGCTCCCTATATAGAAGGTGCACTCCGCATGCCTCCAAATTCTGGCAGAAATTGTCATATACACATCATTCAGACTACAGAACATCTGCAGAATTGATTAAGTCTGAATTTGAGAACTTTTAGTCTTATGACATGACAGGACATGCTGCCTTTTTTTGATTTTATATATTTCATAGTATGTATTTTAATCTGTTTGTATTTTAATATTTGCTTTATACCAATATTTGTATTTTATATATGTTTTATGGTCTGTTGTAAACCACCCAGAGCTTTGGATGTGTGGCAGTATAGAAATGAAATTAATAATAATCTCAATAGCTATTTTTCCTGGTTCTGGTCAAGTGTTCAGTATGATCTTAGGACAACTGCATATATGAGGAAGACTTTTGAGTCCCAGATCTCTAGAAGATACCCACAGACTAATATGACAGTAGCAGTTCAGCTATAATTACTGTTCCTTCTTAAGAACAAGGTCTATGTTGCTGATGAACATTTTTAGATTCATACTGCACCTTAGAAATAAGAACAATGCCTTATTCAGATATGTCACTTGGGTTACATTAGGTGCTCTGGTAGCCAAACTATCCAGTGAATTACAGAAGTAATGAGGCTTACAATTTAAAATAAAACATATATGTATTTCAATTTCAAAAAGATAATTTTTTGCATTTTGGACTGAAAATAAGCAGCTTTTGGATTGTTTAAATTACTGCCTTAATACGCACATGCATGCACACAAATCAACACAGATTTACAGATGCTTCAGGCTTCCTCTGGGGGCATTCAAAAACATCATAAAGTTCCCTCAACAGATTTTAGAAATGAATCCCCTTGCTTTACTCAAAATTTCTTCCATTGGGTAACCGTTATGACATCTAACAAAACAGAACATACTTCTTTCCTGCTTGCTCTTGCCTTTGCTGTTCCTGGATGCCATCAGCAGCTTGATGGAAGTCAAATACTAGGAAATTTGAAAGGTAAAAAATGAACTCTGGGTATATGTGTCTGTATTAGGTACCAAGCTAAAATAAGTTAGTATTTCTATTAATTTATGGCACAAAGTTATACATTGTGGATAGCATCATTTAAATTAGCTGCAAAACAAAATAAGAAAAATCAGAGAGAATATAGTTGTTGCGTGAAAAATGGATTTGATATGTGAGGACAGAAAGTCAGGGCAAATATAAACTACTATACTGCAAATCCAGTCATATCATTCAACATTAGTTTTTCCAAAATATTACATTTATCCAGACCCAGTGATAGAAAGAACTAAAAATACTCTTGATCATCACATAAGATAAAGCCAGTTTGCACATGACAGCCATTGTTTAAAGTCCTGTGGGCTTTTGGATATAAGCAGGAGAAAGTGGGCTAAACAACAGTTCACTCAATAATAACCATTCAGCAAACTCTTAGTATGCTTTGCTTCTAAACAACCCAGTGCTTCCAGTTTGAAAGTGGAACCATAATACACTAAGGAGGAAGTACACTCACTCTTTTTCACTCATGCATGACAACCTATGGGTTATTTAAACCATGGGCTGTTGTTACATGCAAACTAGGTTAAGCTTCCTCAGAACAAGGGCATTATATCTTGTTATCCAAGCATGAGGACATTAACTGAAATTGAGAAACACAGCCAAAAAATTAAAAAGACACCACAATGGTCATGCCTCGTTGTAAGAAATGACAGAATCAAGTACTGATTGTCCAGTGGCTTAGTTTAAAAAATCCAGAAATGTTCTAAGTACCCACTCTTCATCATGAGATACTAGAAATAATAACTGATGACCTCCTGTATGCTAGTTCAGCTTAAACTAAGCTCAGGAGACTTGGCTACTTTGCCTTCCTTAAACTGGAAAACAGATCAGTTTAAGAGTCCCATTTGTCAGTGACCGACATAGAGTTATGACAGGCCCAAATCTGTGTCCTATCTCCTGAGAGCTCGTAACTCCCTTATCCAGTTTTTTGCTGCTGAGTCAGCAGCTGCTGCAGCAGTGATAACAGTATTAGCAGGCAGACCTCCCTCCTATCACCACGGCACTTGGAACCGGAGCCCTAAGACAACTACGTTTCCCAGATCCCTGGTATCTGGGACTCTGTCATAGTAAGTTCATCTGATTAGCTTAATTGATAGGCTAGAGAAGTGCCCCTTGTCTTTTTCTCTTATGGCCTTTGTAGAAAATGCTGCAAAGGCAGAAAAGAAAGCCAAAATACTTCCCATTCATCCATGTTTCGTACAATGCTAGTGGAGGTGAGACAAACTCACATTGGTTTACCACTTTGCCATCCCTGGACATAATTTAATGGAAAGGCAGGACATCAATTTATTTTTTAAATGATATAGTATGTAGTGTTGAAGACACAGTACCAATCTATTTAGTAACAAATGTAATACATGAACAAACCTCTTTCTGGCAAAACGTCTTAGATGAATGGTTGGAGGACCATCTCTTTTAAGACTGAATATTATAAAATCAATTACTAGCGTAGAGAGAAAAATAATTTCTTGCATCTAAGAGTTTGGCATTTAATTTGACAGGCAATTCAAATCATCGACATTTGAACAAAAAAACTAGTTTCAGCATTGAAATATTGATTAGTGTAACTATTATGGGTTCTTCTTTGGCAAAAATGATTTGACAGGTATGTTAATGATAGCAATAGTATCTGCTCTTGAATAGAGTCTTCAGATGCTACAGGACTGAGAAACAGCAATTCAATTCAATTAGCCCCTTTTGAATACACATGCTGCCTCATTTCTAAGGTGATCTAAGGTTCTAAGGTTACTTCTGCCAAGTATGGGTTACCATGTCATCCAAACCAAGCAAAGTTGGGTGCGTTTCCAAATTGCCCCAGGATCCTAAAAAGAACCATGTGTGTCAGTGTGATCTGAAAGCCACACAGACTGCCCACCTCACTAAATTTGGACTACATGGCAACCTGCTCCCAGTGCAGCTAATTATGGTTAAGAGATGTAACTTGCACATGCATGACACAGAAGAGAAGCCATCATTGCTTCTTCTCCTTCTTTGATTGTATGAACCTTTCTGTGGTATTGGAGACTGATTCAAGTTCTCCCAAATCGACTTGTTGAGTATTGCTATGTGGGTGACTAACGCATTTCTTTGAACCTGAGCCCATATTACTGCCACAAGAGAAAGACATATCAAAGTTATCAGAGATAAAATAATACTATGAATAACATATATATATATTTATTTACCAATATGAGCTCTGTCAGATATAATTAATCGTTTCTCCCAGCCTTCTAATCCTGTAAAAGAAGAAACAGCATATTACAAAACATTCACAAATCAGTTTTAATTTTTTAAGAAAATTACAGTGACTAACAGTGCAAACTTTATGCATGCTGCTTAGAAGTAAATTTCTTGGAGTCTAATGGTCACTAGGTTTGCCTAAGACTATAGTCTATTATAAGCTGATGAAAGAAAAGACAGTTGAAGTGACACCACAAAATTAACTCCATGTATTTGGAGTTCATAGATGTCATGCCAGTAAACTGTGGGTTAATTAAACAAATTTACCCTTGCACTTTGAGCAAGGTGCTCTAATTCCTGGTGTAAGCATAATGCATGAGCCTGGACCAATAGGTTGTTCTGAGGCTAAACTACACAGTGGTCAGACTATGAGTTCTTGTTAAGTTTTGGGTTGCTTAGCCCCTGTACAATTGATTGGTCATTATGCTCACCACCTCTGATCAGATCAATCAGAAGTTATTTACAGAAAACTGGAACTGGTTTGCAATCAGTGCATGTCCCAGCACAACATGTGTTAAATGACCCATGACTTCCTAGTGCAACAAGCAAACTGGGTCTGTCTCTACCACTGATTATCTGGAAAATGCATAACATTTAATAATTGGGCCTTCTAACAAAGGCGGGCAGCTACAGGTGATCTGAGGACTGATTTCTACCTCCTGGAACCCTTGCTGCTGCTGCTCTACTGACAGAAAAAAATCACTGGTTCGTTACTAAAATTTATTGAAAACTGCTACAGGACCCCTGATTACAGCTGATATTTTATTGCACTTTAAAGATGCAAAAAGTTACAAGAAAAGTGAGATACACCACACATTGAGAAACACAGCACATGAGGCTGGTTAGTACTGAAAAAAGAGCATGGTGTCCCCAAACAGTGTGTAGTTCATAATGACTTACTTATCTTTAAAGGTTTCTTTACATTTTCTAGACGACACACGTCATTTGCAATTTTCCACATTAGGTCACAAAACTCCCAAAAAATTCCCATTTAATTATTGATGGAAAACCCCCAGATAACCAAATCCGGGAAGGTTAAACCCTGGTTCAACTGTATTTCCTGAGGGAAAATCCTATAGGAAATTTCTTTCTCTTTCTTTCTTTCTTTCTTTCTTTCTTTCTTTCTTTCTTTCTTTCTTTCTTTCATCAATGCACTAATTGCATGTCATAAAGTAGCCTTCCTGAGTTTGGTGACATTACCTATATTGTTGAAGATGATGGAGACAGGGAGGGCACCAGATTGAAGATGGCTGCAATAAAGCAGCTGATTATGAACAGCACAATAGCAGTGATTTGGAGTTCTGCTAGACACCACTGAGAGGATCCTTGTCTCCTCCTTAAAAATAATACCTTAGAAACCTTTCCTTACCTTTCCCTTTTTTAACATTTTTCTCTGCTTCTTCAAACAATCCTGGCAAATGAATTACCACACCATTTCCTGGAAAAGGCCGTCAAAGACAAAGTTTAATGAGGAATGCAATATATATTAAAATTCTCCTCCCAAGTCCGCAATTTTACTTTTGAGATGGGGAAAATACATCGATACTGTTATGCAAGTTATACTGTTAACCATTTCAGTTAAAATTCAAGGACTGTATCCAATGATAGGTTTACATTCACAGAAAGTACTTCCACTTGTGCAAGATACAGTACCTGCTCTTTATTAGCCTCCCAAAGTAATTATTTCAAGAGAATCATTGAAAGAAAAAAGTGTTAAAAAATAAACAATTGGGTTGATCTGTTCCTCAGGCAACACAACTTATGGTCTGGCTCCAATTTGAGAGCAGGGATTCTGCAACTGGAGCATGCCTGCCCTGCCACCACCCCCCAACCCTGCTAGGGCAGACAGACCTCTGCTGCTGGTTTCTCCAAGGTCATAAAACTGACCTTAAAGAAGGGGTTTAGGAAGCAGAGGGGGAAGAGAGCAGAGGAAGCAAGCACCACCAAGATATGAAGAATCCTGGCAGCTCCTCAGGCTCCTTTCCTTCCAATCTAAAGTGCCAAAATTAGACAGCTTTGCAGGGCATGAGGAGTGTGAAGTTGACCTTGCCTTGATGATCCTCCCCCCTTGCATAGGATGCCCATAATCCTCTGGGCATCTCTAAGAAAATGATAGATTATAGAGGAAGGACAAAGTGGAAAAGAAACTAATGGGTGACTAGCATTTCAGCATTTCATTTTTTAAGGTACACATCCTTTTCTTTTCGTTTTTGCACCTAATAATGTTTGAATACAGCAAATGTGTTTTCAAACACATGTATCATACAAAACACCCATCAAGGAATTGGGATTAGCTGAAACTCCCTACTGAAAACATCAGTAAGTTCAGGGTTGTTATATAGGGTGTGGAAAGCCCTTCAACCTACTAATGATCAAAATATACAATTTTTCCAAAGAAAAATTATCCACAAAGCTGCTGCTTCTCCCCCTCCCCCCGTCCCACCGCCATCAAAGGAGTAAAAAACAGTATAATATGGGCAACTAGTGCCTGTCCCCTGCTTTCCATTGTTGCTAATACCAGTTTTAGGAATTTCCTAGCAGTGCTTCACTGATCCTATTAACACCTCTTAGAATTTCCTTTGAAATAAAGGATGATATCAGGAAACTCTATCATGAGTATCCAAATACATTTCTTGGCCCCGAGAATTTCTACAGATTGCAAGAAGAAAACAAAATTTGCAAATGAACAACCAAACATAACTACAAATGCCACCAAGAATCATAGCTGGAATGTGTTTCAATATGGATATCCACAATGCCTGCTTAGGAAAAGAAGGAAATACAGGTATACCTGAATGTACATTAAGTCTAGCTATTGTACAACATGTTTCAACGTTGACAGGAGTATCAAGCAACATTAATAATCTACTTTTGCATTTTTTCAGGTTGAGAGTTAAGAGCCTCTGGACTCCATAAGTACATTGGATTTTGAAAAATCATCACTCACCAATAAATGCCATGACTTTGGGATTGATGATACCACTGGGCAAGAGATGAAAGTCATATTCCACAGAATCTACTACAACAGTATGTCCAGCATTGTTGCCTCCCTGCAGGTTAGACAGGAGTTACTGTTTTTCACCTTGTCTGAATATGTATACACATATTTTCACATTAAAACTACCAGAAGCTTTTAATATCATACTGTGTGATTTTCTGTATAGGCATACATAGGAACGCACCTTGAAGTTCAGTATTTTAGACATTCGTTCAGAACCACTGCAAATTCAACAACGCTTTCTATGCAGTAAACTACTGGTGCAAGCACACCATTAACATAGCTATATTTACGCTCCTCTCAAATGAAAATGCAGTAACGCTGAGACACTTGAGCTGATGAAGTCCAGTTACATAGGGGGAAGGGAGCATGAAAGGCTATCAAAGTTCAAGCAGTAAAAACCTGGCTATACTAATGCACAATGAATATGAGAAGATATATTTTTCTACCTAAACAAACAGCTAAGATTTGCATTTCATAAACTATTTTGATTAATAAGTAAAGCAAGCATGAGCTTGATTATTCTAAGGAACTGAAGAAAAAAATAACCAACTATAGGGGCAAAAAATCCAAGAACAATCTCATGTATGCTTCCTGAGATGCAAGGCATACTGTGCTCAATGGAACTCACTCCCAAATAAATGTGCAAAAGATTGCTCCTACATAGTGCAGTCTTAAGCATATTTGCTTAGGGGTAGATCTATTGTGCTCAACAAAACTTGTAGGATAGTACCTTGAAATTAACGCAGGCTTAAGTTGATTTGTTTTAAATTGAATCAATTTAACTGTGCTATGCAACAAGCACACACAATGTTCAGTAGCCACAGTAGTTGAGTAAAATATACAAATCCAGCCTTCCAGTTCTGCAAACATGCTTGGCATATTTTTTCTGACAGGATTTACCTTGCAATAGTCCATGGTGCCAATATTTATAAAGATATAGCACGTCACCTCTGCCATGGTTTAAAACGAGAGATTTAGAAAGCCTGTAAGTCTGACAGTAGTTTACTTCACCATCCTACACATTCATTTGTCATTTTAAGACAATGGCAGATCCATTGAGAAGATCTATTGGTATATCCACTGTGCTCAAGTGAATTTGCTTCTTAGGATAGCAACCTATAATTAACAACACAGGCTTATGCTCATTTGCTTTAAATTAAATCAATTTAACTGTGCTATACAACAAGAGCACACAATGTTCAGTAGCTACAGCAGTTGAATAGTAAAATATACAAATCCAGCCTTCCAGTTCTGCGAACATACTTGGCATATTTCTTCTGACAAGATTTACCTTGCTATAGTCCATGGTGCCAATATTTATAAAGATATAGCACGCCACTCTGGCATGCATTAAAACAATAAGAGATTTAGAAAGCCTGTAAATCTGACGGTCATCTAATCCAGCATCCCACACATTTATTAGTCTTACACAGTTTATCTTGTCCGAGTCTCTAGAATACAGAATTTAGTTCTAGCAAAATACTAAAAAAAAAAAAAAAAAAGGGAACCATGGCTTTCACTTAAAAAACTTCTTCCAACATGTGAAGACCTTTACAAATTTCACTTTTGCCTGGAATAAGCTGTATTCAGCTTTACTATCACACAGCCATCCAGCCACTGCAGCTGATATTGGTAGGTGCTAAATGGTATTATCTATTTGCAAACTGAGTTTCTGAAGAGGAAAACAGTAAGGTGATGGTGGGATGTCACATTCAACTGTTCCAGTTGCTTCTGCTGCTCCATGTGGATAAGTAACCCCTACCACCACCACGCCTCTTCTGTGCTACAGGAAATAGCCCAGAAGAAGCCTACATGATCCAGTAGGTAGACTTCACTGTCTCTTATGAAAAAAAATCATACTTTTTTACTCTGCCTCAACTCTGTACGTCTCTCAAGTATCCTCTTCCTGTTCAACTCTAATTTCCACTTGCTGTCTCCCTTGTTTTTCCATCTCCCTCTGTAACTGCTGGTCCTTTGACCTCCACCAGCCATCTGCAAAATTCCAAATCCATTCATCAGTTTTGACAGAACAAGTGTTCTCAGCCCTGTGGCAAGCAGGATAACCAGCAACACACATGGCTGTCACATGTTTTCACTTGCTCTAGAGTAAGAAAAGGGAGTGTTGTTGCTGTTTTACTTTCTCCATTTTCCAGAACAAAACATGGAAATTCCTGTTTCTCCATCATCCTGTGTATTCCAGAGAACTTCACATGGAAAAAGGATTGGTTGCAAACTCAGATATAAGCTAGATTAGTAAACCCAACCAATACTTGTAAACTTATGTCACAGAGACAAAGGAAACTTTTTTCTTTCCCATTATTTAGTTTTTTGTGTTCCCCAGAAACTTAAACTCAGGGGAGTTTGTTTGCTGCTGCTAGCCTTTTACAGATAATTTCTGCTTCCTTTCAAAGAAGAATGCCCTTGTCAGAATATCTGAAGAATGTAGTTTGTTGGATCAGCTAAGGATCATACTCTAAGGATACTAGGTCCTAGCTAATCCTTTCTGAACTCCTCTCTGATGAGTATGTTCAATTCTTAGGCATGTAACTAGTTTTAGGAACTGTCAGATTCAGATCAGCTTGTTGTTATGTGCCAACATAAGTCTCCAACTTATGGCAATTCTAAATGAAAGCCCTCCAAAATGCCCTATCCATGCCAGCCCTGTTTTTCTAAATTCAAGACTGTAGCTTTTTTATGCAGTCAATCCATTTCTTATTTGGTCTTCCTTTATTCCTCTGCCTTTGATTTTCCCTAGCATGATTCTCTTTTCCAGTGAGTTTCATCTTCTTATGATCTGACGTATGACAGCTTCAGTTTTGTCATTTTTTTATCTAGGGGAAGTTCTGGCTTGATTTAGTCTAAGATCTATTTTTTTTTTTTTGTCAGTTCAGGGTATTCACAAAGGTTTCCTCCAACACCATTGTTTGAACACATCTATTTTCTTCCTGTCAGCTCTCTTCACTGTCCAGCTGTTGCACCCATACATGGTAATTGAGAATACCATAGTATTGATGGTCTTTGCTTTCTAATATAGCACACTCTTTCTCACAGGATTTGCCTTTGAAGAAGTCTGTCATTCTTTCATCTCTTCTGTATATTCTTTTCACCTTCTCTTTATTTTTTCTTGGTCAGATATTGTGTCCCCATTTGTCTTTTAGCATTTCTAATCTAGGTTTAAGTTTCGCTTTGGCATCTTAGATTTTCTGAAAGATTTCTTTTGTTTTCCCTATTTTGTTGTTTTCTTCTCATTCTTTGCACTAATCATTGTAATAGTTCTTTTTGTTTCTACACCATAGACACTGAAAAGTTGCCTTCAAGATTCTGACTGTTTCTGTCACCTATTGCTATTTCTTCTTGCCTGTTGTTAGAAACTGTATTTCTTCTGTCATCCATCTAGGCTTTTTCTTTCTTTTTGCTACAAGAATAGTCTTTTGGCATTCTTCCTTAATAGTGCCTTTTGTTTCAGTTCACAGTTCTTTTGGCTTACAGTCAATGGCTTACAGTAATGCAAATCTGTTCTTTTATGTGAACTTTAAATTCATCAAGGATGTTATTCAAGTTAAATTTTGGCACTATGTTTCACTAAAGACTTTTTTTTAGCTTGACTTTGAATTTTGGTATTTAAAATTCATGGTTACTATCGCAACCTGCTTGTGATCTTGTTTTGGCAGTGCAAATACAGCTTCTCCATCTTCTGTTTCAAATTACATAGCCTATTTGATATCTGTACAGTCGATCTAGTGGTGTCCGTGTATAAAGTCATCTGATTGGGTGCCTCGAGTATATATTTTTTGATAAGCAGAGTGAGTGCCTTCCAACCTGGGGGGGGTGGGTCTCATCTTCTAACACTACCTCTTCTTTCATTTTTCATTGTTCCATCATAGGGTTTTCAAGGTATTAACCAGAGTTAGTTTGAGCATTACTGCCATTATCTGTAAAAGATCCTTTGCCAGCGTCACCTTTGACTACTGCTGCTGCCAAGTGGCTGCCCTTCAGAAGTTTGTCTCCATCCCCATCAGAGATATCCATTCTCTTCTGCTGATGTGATCATTAATCTTCAAGAGGGTGGATGCACCTTAGTCTGGTGTCTCTGGTTTGCCCATTCTGCCTCGGGTGAGCCTCCTAGGAGGCCAGCCTAGTGAGATATTCTGGCCTCCTGGAAGCATTGCTCTTGGCTTCTCTGACATTCTCAAACCACTTTACCATGTTAAGGTGTGCATCCAAGTTTAGAGAACCTGGATAGAGGAAATATTTTTTTACTAAATGTTTACCTAAATGAAGCTAGGAAAATAATAAATACAACTTGTAGAAAAAGGTAAAGTACAGAGGATTTCTACATAGAGGTGCTAAAGTATTAACTAACCCTAGGCAGAAGCTGTAGACTACTACAGCAGTCTTTGAGGTGAGGTTGGAGAAGCCTTAGCAATTCACAATAAAAACACTTTCCTGGCACTGCTAATAGCAGCACTGGAACAGCATATCCCCTGCCCCCGCAGTTCGGCTGAGCCACCCTCTTCAGCTGGACTGAGGTTCTCACAGCTCTGAAGGCTACTCAAAGTACAAGCAAGAGCTGCATGGAGCACACGAGCTGTGCATCTCTAATGTGTTGTAAGCTGCCCCGAGGCTTCGGCAAGGGGCGGCATAGAAATGTAATAATAATAATAATAATAATAATAATAATGTAAATCTTTGCTTAGATAGAAAGATCTAGCAGTAATGCATCAAACAATTGGTAGATGAAAATTCTCAACCCTGAAGCCCTCCATGCACTGTTAAGAGCTATTCTTCTTTAACCTTTAAAAACACTCTATTTAAAAGACATGGGAAATAAAACTGAGAGATTTACTGCCCTGGGGGAGGCATTACAAAGTAGCTTTTGATGTACTGAGTCAAATGTTCTCTGGAAAAGTATCAACCACAAGAAGTTATATGTCCTGGTGTAGTGTCCATCAGATATTTCCACCACCATTACACACAAAATATCTGGGAAGGAAACTAGTTTTCCCATTTGTCCAGTGGAAAAATTGAATAAGAAAGTTAAGAAACACT